CGAAATTACATCAGACACTTCTATCAAATTGGTAGTGGTAAGACATGGTTTTATTGTAAATGCCATGAGTGGACACGAACTTTTGGGATATGCAATCACATTGTATAAGAAAACTCTCTAAAATATGAAATAATTTAGACAGAATATACTTTATAAAATGAAGCTATTGAAATAACCAGTTTATATGAGAAATCAGATATTTCAGAATTGTTTTGTAAATGTGATTGTTGACACCTATTTGGACCACCTTCTGGCAGTAAGGTATGTTAATTTCTGACCCTTTTTCCTGTCTGTTATGTCCTTGGTCATGACTTGGAAAAAAAATTCTAAGGTGTTTCTTCACAACCTTTTGAATAATGAGGTAGTGATTTTCCTCCACAGTGGGATGTATTTCTATGAATAACATTTGACACTTCTTAACCTTTGAAGCTCATATTTTGTTATGTTACATTTGACCTCATGTTCATAAGAGATACAATTCAGCATTGCCTCTGTTTTCATGAGTGGGAAGACTCAAAACCGCCCTCACGGAACCTCTCAGAGCAGGGCAAGCATCTGGAGGGTGTGTCCCTTCTGCGAAGTAACAGCTCAGTCAGTGGGGACTGCGAGAACTGTCACTCGTTACTCAACAGCGCCTGTTTTTCACTTTCTTCACTTCTGTTCCCCTAGCTTGCTGTGAAATAATTAATGCCACTCACCCCACCAAAATAACCACTTTTAATACCAGAAAGCTGATTTTACTACTAGATGGATTTATCAGGAATAAAAATAGCATTTAATAATGGTTTTAAGCCTTTTCTAACTTAATTGGGGCATTTGAAATTCTGAACCATAAGAAAATTACTCTCACAGTAAACACAGTGGGTGGACAATATGATGTGTTAAGAGTTAAGTTTAACTCTACCGGCTTAATTACCAATTAGCTTAAAACTAACATGTTAAGTAGTTTAAAACATTTGTTTCCCTACCACATTAGTATTAGTCAGACCTTTAGAGCTAAATGTTAGTGATTTTTATATGGAGATTTTATATAAGATTATTCATCTACCTACAGAAATAATTTATTTCTGGTATTTTCTTTGAAATCAGTGTTGATCATTCTAGTTTTGTTTGTAATTATATTCTGACACTGGAGAGAGATCAGGTGGAGCCATACCATCGTTTATGTAATTCTGTGGCATGAAATAACTTTAGCTTTTAAATCACTTATCTCGGACAGGTGTGGTGGCTCATGCTATAATCCCAGCACTTTGGGAGGCTCAGGCAGATGGATCACTTAAATGCAGGGGTTTGAGACCAACCTGGCTAACATGGTGAAACCCTGTCTGTACTAAAAATACACCGATTAGCCAGGCATGGTGGTGTGTGCCTGTAGTCCCAGCTACTCAGGAGGCTGAGGTGGGAGGATCGCTTGAATCCAGGAGGCAGAGGTTGCAGTGAGCTGAGATCACACCACTATACTCCAGCCTGGGTGACAGAGACCCTGCCTCCATAAATAAATAAATAGGTCATTTATCTTGTATCAGAAAAAAACATCAAAATATGTCCTATCTTTGTGAACAGAAACAGCTGTTTCATTATTTAGCTAAATATAACTGGAATGATACTAATTTTAAGTTGTTTTCTTAAAACTAAGCCCTGTCTTTATTGTTAAACATTAGAATTCTCCATAGCCAAAATTTTTTCCCGACATATATCATAATATGTGTTTATTCTTTTAAAATACTAGCTATACTTGATTTTTCATGTTCTTTTCTAAAAAGTGCATGTAGCATATCAAACTGTGTTATCTCAGGTACTTGTAGTCCAGTTTTACCAACTGATGCATCACATAACATTTTAGAGCAGGAGCTGGGAAACACCTGTTTTTGTATGGTCTGAAAGCTGAGAACGGTTTTTACATTTTTAATTGATTGGGAAAAAATAATTTTGTGATATGAAATTCAAATTTTTCTCTCCATAAATGAAGTGTTTTTGGAGCACAACCACCTCCATTAAATACTATCAGTGACTGCCTTCTTACCACAGTGACAGAGTTGGGTGGAGTAGTTGTGACAGGAACTAAGCCTAAGCCTGACAGCCTAGAATGTGTACTGTCTGGCCCTATGCAGAAAGAGTTTGCCAGCACTTCCAAAAGTGGATTGGGTTAAAGTCCTTAGGGTATTTTGATACAGTGATTTTTAAAGTCACCTTTGCCAACCTAAATTATGACTTTCTCTTTCCTTCCTCCCCTCCCCTCCCCTGCCCTCCCCTCTCCTCCCCTGCCCTCCCCTCTCCTTCCCTCCTCTCTCCTTTCAAATGTACTCACTGCATTTCCAGTTTTGATCCATAAGGGTGGGATTCTAATTGTTAACCTGGTAGGAAGGAGGAGACTGTTGCCATTGCCTAAGCACTCCTCTGCTGAAAAAAGCAATAAGTCCGAATGTGTCGTTAAGGGCCAGAAACCTAAAGAAACAAGAGGTGGAACTAAGAGGAAAAAGCCAGTGGAAATTAATGTTTGTTCTGATTTTTATAGTGCCCGTGAGGCAACCATGCTATGTCAGTGGGAAATGGTGACAATCCACCTTAGTTGTGTGCTATAACTCAGTAACGTTTGTAACTAATTTAACCTCACACATATTTGGTGATTATGTATAACCGTGGTTGTGCTGCTTGGTATTGAGGCATTAAAAAGGGGCCAGTCCAAGAATTGAGTTTCGATAGTACTCCTTCTCTCAGCTGAATCAAGCATTTCTTGCTGAGGA